TAGGATTCCTTGTAAGTTTTCTTGAAACCATGATCAAAATGAGCTTAGTCATCACTGTAGCAGGTGGCATAGAAGTGGGCTTGGGCTCACATCGAGCAGCAGTTTTGGGTTGGGTCTTGGCAATCTTTATTGAACAATGATTTAACATTGGGCCTTCAACTTCTTGCCCATTCTTGCCACATTTGTTCTCAAGTTCGAGCCCATCCTTTCCATAATTATCATAATCTACATCATTAAAAAAACAAATAGAATTAAATTAAGGAAAATGCTATACATAGCCCTTAGGCTAGAAGTTAAAAAAAGAAAAGTATCAATAAAATATTCATTAATTACATTGATTTATGCAATTAATACCAAATAAGGAAAGATATTTAATGCTTATTTGTATCCCTAAAGACTATATATAGCATTACCCTTAAATCAATTACTAGATTATAACTTTTCCAAATTTCAAATGCATGTAAAAATGTTGTCATTTATTATGGATTGTGACTTCTCCAAATTTCAAAATTGCATATTCATGATTATTAACATATATATATAAGTCTGGTGAGTTACTTAACTTTTTTTTTTTTTTTTTTTTTTTGACAAGGAGGTACTTGTTATCAAATGATTTTAAAGAATAAAATTATATGTGGTTAGATTCTTTGATGATAAATATATATCTTAGGCTTGTTGACGATTTAATACTTAGCCATACAACCAAAAAAAAAAAGAAAGTGTGCATGAATTTTTTTTCTTATTTAAAAGATAAAAGCAAACCTTTAGGTTTAGCAATTTTTCCTTCATGAACATGATCATTTTCGTCACTTCCTCCAAACACATGCAAACCTCTCCCACCACTATCATCACCCTTCTTCTTCATCTCCTCCGCTACTGGTGTCGGCTCCTCGGCCGGCGCAAATATCCCTCCCGTTGACGGCTTTGGATATTCCCCACCACCAACACCTCCACATTGTTTCTCCTCATCAAATCCCAAATTCCGAAAACTGGAAACCCTTAAACTTCTACTACTACCACCCTTCCTATTATCATTCACAAAAGAGTAAAAAGTATCAATCTCATTAAAACTAGACACTCTCTTAGAAGATTGAAGTGAATAAATCTCTACATTAGTCAAGTTAGAAGGAACCCTAAAACCCTCTGATCTAAAACTCATTGATTTCCTAACTTTAACATGAATTTTCCCATCTTCCCCAATTTTCGCCTCAGTTTCCAAACCCTCTTTCCCATCAAGTGATATTACATCGGAATCAACCTTAACTGATGTAATTAATTCCGAATTACCAGGAAATCGTTCTGAAATTAATAATCTTGCACTCCTAAACTCAAACATAACCAATAATATAGTATACCATATAATACATTGTAGCACAACAATTTGCACCATCAACTCCCCTGAAGAATCTCCATACATTCCCTTTAACAAAGGGATGCCCATAACAAGAGTGTTGGGTAGGGTGGATAGTGAAAACAAGGTGATATACGACTCGAGCGAGCCAGTTCCTCCACCACCACCACCGCCGCCTCTACGACTAAGCATAGACCAAAGAAAAAGGACAACCAAGACGATGAGTTTTTGGAGAGTATCCGCCGCAATGAAGCGGTAGTTCATTGCATAAGGATTGTTTTTTGAGATGAAATGAAATGAAAGAAGAGGAACAGCAAAAAGGGCAACAAATCTATTGATTCCTGAACATTGATCTGGTGTAAATATCTTCCACCATTTCACTGAACCATATGCTACTATCATTGCTACATAAAGGGGTACTACATTTGCTAACACATTATACAAATCTTTTAATGATATCATTTTTAATTTTCTTTCTATAAGGAGATAAGAGTTGAAGATATAAAGGATATTACACCTTTCTATGGATGATGTGTATATATATATTAGTTTTGTTCCCGAGAAGTTGTTAAAATTTTAGAATAAATTTTCTGGCTTGAATGCTAAATCTTATTACATATGGAGTACTCTATAAAGGATATATACTCCATTTTTTTTAAGTGTTACATTTTAATTAACCAGCACATAGTTTATTTAGGCAATTAAATTGACTGACACATAGTTTTAGGCACACAATTAAATTGACTTAAATATTACACTTTGACCAACACTGCACGTAGTTTTAGGCAATCAAATTGACTTGAATAAAATAAGAGGTAAATTAGATAGTTGGAGTATTAAAAAATTGTAAAAGAAAGATAGTGAGGCTAATAATTATTAAATATTTAACGAATGTGAGAGGAAAAAAAAATACTAATAATACATACAGAAGTAGTAGTGGATTTGGGCAGGACTATAAGAGAAGAGAGCTACGAAGTATAACATTACAATACTTAAAAAACACGATTGCATTTGATAAATATAACACTTAAAAAAGCACAGAGGGAATAGAGAGTGTAAGGAGCACCGGCATCAATTAGGAATTTCTATTCTTTTAGCTCTCTTTTGGGATCTAAAAGGATCCTCATAAATGTTGTGGAGTATGAGAGGATCCTCTTGCATTAAAGTGGATTTCTTGTTTGTAAAAACAAAAAAAAGAGTGATTTTTTTGTATTTTTAAATAAAAGAAAATAAAAAAGATTGAATTGAAAATATATGGTAGGTATATGTAAATAGCACACAGAAAATCGAAAAGAATTCTCTTTGATGTTAAGAATTTAAGAAAGAGAATGAGGAAAAGGATGAGAATAGTGTGAGGTAAGTGGCTTACGGTAGTAAGAAAGTTTTTCAAAAAAGAAATAAAATAAGTGAATTTGGAAACTCAATTTGCTAAAGTAGAGCTTTCAAAACCGGAGTAAGTATTTAGATTCAATTTGATATCAAGTCCAAGATTACAACTTACTAAGGGCAAGATATATACACCATTTGTTACTGATTTCAATTTGACTTTACCGATTACGATTTGACTTTGACACTTTATATTCACATAATAACTTACTAAGGACAGATACACCATTCGTCACTAATTGCACATTAAACTTTGACACTATAGTATTATGATATGTGGTTGGATTGGTTTATGGTATATGATAGTATTAGTGGTCAAAATTATGTATTAACTCATGTGTTAATTAAATTGTTGTAAGTATATAGAAACAAAAGAAGTATACAGATGAAATTTATTCGCAGATAATAAGATATCGGGAAATGATTTTGGCACACCAAAAAGTGATTTAGACACATCTTTTGTGAGAGCACAGTTTAATATGCTCTTTTCACATGAAAGTGTGCCAATATGAATAATAAGTGTGACAAAATCAATTTTCTAAGATATCGCAATGTCCAAAGAGTTTTCGGTGATGACAAGGACGAAGAGAGAGAAATGGTGAGTTAGTTAAGTTTATGTGTGTATGTACATACGTAAGTAAGTGTTGGATGATAAGGAAGTCAAAATGCATAGGAATTGGGAAGCAACAGTTCTGAAGACATAGAATCAACATTTTGAAACTTGTCAATCAATTGGAAAATTATACCGACACATAAAAACACTTGTAATGAAAAAACACCTAAACTTTGCTAATTTCTAACACTTGTAACAAAATTTATGCCAAACTTTTAAAAATATTATTGAGATGCTTCTTTCTGTACAAACAAAATTCAGTGTTGCAGATCATCTTGTTACCCTGCCATTTTATCTTGGCTAAATTCCAAGTGTGATGCACGTGCGTGATGTTTCAATGGATACAACCAAAACTATCATTTACAACCATCGTTGACTAGCTAATGAGCTACCCTTTGACTTCTTGAGTTCATCGATTTTAATGATATTTTTCTACTTCCATGCAAGAACATGCCATGGATTGGGAAAAATAAGGGTGAGTTTAGTTTGAGATTCATCAATGAACTTATGTACTAATTAATTAAGCTTATATCGAAATTAAATGAGTTTCGAATTAATGTCGATTAATAGTGTGTTCATAATAGCAAATGAAATGCATTAATTGGTAGAAAATTCGCCAATGGAGATTGATTAATGAAGTTGATGAGTAATGCACTTACAACTCGTTTAGAAGAGAGGGTATGAGATGGTTTGCCACAAGAAAATAAAGATTGAGACAATTTTTAAAGAGATCAGATTAGAGCATGGATAGAAGGAGCTCATACATGACAATTAGTATAATTAATGCTGTAATAAACAAGTACCTAAGTTCGTTGATTGAAAACTTTTTACCCGTGTTATAAGCTCATCGAAGAATATGATTCCAAATTAAACCTTTTTTCCCACGATTATCATACGTCTGCAAGTTTTTTCTATTGGTTGCTACAATTAACGAACATACAAGAAGTTGGTGACTACTGAGTATTAAGCACCCTAGGGTTTGCTCTAACTGAACCACATAATCTGTGCGCTACATAAGTTAGAGTGTAATAAGTACAAAGATTTTACCTATTAAAAGCTTAATAAATTACTTACTTCATTTTGAGAGAAATTCCAATTGTTGTGTTTTGTCAACCAAATAATTTCATAATATTTTCATATAGAATAAGCATGCTGTGTATGTTCATATTAGCTACTAAGAGATACTTCTTTCGTTTCAAAATAATTTTAACACTTTTAGCTTTGCACAACATATGTTCTAATTGTCTAGTGTCACCACATGCATGTATTTAATTTAACGAATGTCATCAAGTAAAAAACATGTTGTCGAATTAGTTTCATTTTATATTTTCATAAAATTTGCGTTTTATACATTCAATTAAAGATATTTATGATTGAAATTGCAAATTGTCAAGATTGATAACAAAGAATTAGGATAGGGATTAAGGAACAATCAACCCATTTCAAGGAAGTTCTGTTATGACAGAGAAGTTTGCAACTTTGCATTGAAGAACTCAAAGTTACCAAAGAAAATGGAGTGAAAGTGAAACACATGGAGCAATAGGACTTATACTCTTACAGGAGCATGCATAGCAACATTGCCAACATACAAGTATATTCAAAATTTCAATACGTTTTTACAATTCATACTGGAAATAAAATAAAATAAAATAAAATTAAGTGTATGATTTTATTTATAATTATGGGAACAGAAAATTGAATATACTTGTCTTGTATTACATGCACTGGTGGCTAAACTTGGCCAACATAAATTACAATGGTGGTATATATATTTTGAATAAAGATCTCCATTTGTTTATACAGAGAGAAATAGAGAATACTAAAATACAGTCTATAGGAAAAGATTAACCTAAAACAGCCTTTCCGATAATAGAGGCAATTGGGCAAAGTTAACATCAATCAAACAGCACCAACACGGTTAATTAAGGAGGTATGCTGAATGCTGATGCCATTTTTTGCGCTTCCATGAGGTTCCTGCCGTGTTAGCTTCTCTAAAACAAAGGATGAAATTGTAGCAATCCATCTTCATAAGGTCCATATCTGCATTGATTATGAAATTAGCAACCTCTCAAAAGATCTATCGTGTATGCTAGATAGATTAAATGATACACATGTTATCCCCTTCAATGACTGAATTTCTGATGTATAGAATCCTCTATCCCACATTGTGTATAAGTGACATGTATGTTGTTCATGTGTGACACATTTCGATTGCTTGATACTATTACTACAGCACGACACTTTTTTTATGAACCAGCCAAAATACACGGCAAATATATGCAATGGTACACAGACTGCGGGACTAACTCAGCTAAGGATTTGATTTCTCTCTACCACAATAATAAATTTCACCATAAACTCCGGTAAGTTATTTGACTGTAGTCTGTGACTCTGTTCTAAATCAATGATCTTAACTGTGGAAATGGAGAGGAGAAAGCAGGTTCATTCTAAATATAAGAACGACTGAACCATGGAGTAGTTCACTAGTGAACCACACAGAAGGAAGAGTGTGGACCCCACATAAAATAAGAATTACCAATTTTTGTCCCTGCCTTACTTTCTTGGTTCACTGGTGAACTAGTTTTCTTTTTAGCCGAACTCTAATCATAAATGGACGACATGGTTAGCCTTACACACCTTCAGATGAGCTTGGTGCTAACTTGTGTGCTCAGTGGAACCCATCACCAAACCACCTCGAGCAGTTTAGTCACTGACATTTAAAAAGGGCGAACCAGAGAAAACAATCTTCTTTTTCTTTGAGAGATTGTTAATTACACTAGACAAATGACATAAATCTTAGCAGCCAATAAAATAATTAATGTTAAAATGATCAAACAAGATTGCAACTTTAATAGGGTAACGTATTCAAAATTCAAGATGATATCAAAACTAAGATTAGCTTCAATTTGAATCAAAATCAGCTTTTCAATTCATTAGTCAAATTGCTTGTATAATATAAACATAGTATATCAAATATTTCATATATATATATGTGCTTCAACCTTTATTTTCCAAATGAAACTTTTCAATTGAACAATTAGACAGCTATACAGCAAAACAGACATATTTGTCCTAGTTACAGATATATTGGCCTGTTGCACTGAAAATAGGGACATACATACCTAGAGGGAAGAGAAAATAGGGACACCGGGTAGAGTGGCACCAGCATCGACGATGAAAAAGTTGCCTGTTACATACTCTGAGGAGTCGAAGAGCAAGTATCGGACAAGAGATGTTAAGGCTGGATCAGATGTTCCAAATGTTCGTAGAGGTACAGTATTCACAGCAACCTTGTTAAGCCAGTCCTTTTCCATCAGATTCTCGGTGATCTCAGACCTGAATAGTCCAGGAGATATGGAATTAACTCGAATCTTATACATGCCGAGTTCCAGGGCCATCATCTGCACCATCACTCACCGTTAGATAGCTACACATGACACAATTTTGCTGCAATTTTGCACCCTTCTCAGGGACGGGGGGAACACTAAATTTACATGATGCACAATTATTTTTCAAAGTATGACTGCTGGCATAACCAATCCCACACCTCTTTCATATATAGTTTACTGTGTTAATGTAAGATTAAGTACTCAAAAGGGGCGAACATTTCTGAAAAACTTTATAAATACTATTATACAAAATAATTATGCCAAAATTTAATTTATCAGTGACCAAAATTTAATTAATTTCTAAAACACTTTATAAATACTATAACACAAAATCTTTAGAATTCTGAGAACTAATAGAGCTTGGTTAGATATCAGATCAAACAATGGCCATGAATATTCACAGTGCATACTCCTTTGTAAATTGAAAATAATAACGTATCTAAATATTGAAGATACTCTTAATTAAAAGCAGTTGGAAGGATACAAGCACGAAGGATAAGCTTCCTTAGTCAGTGTGGTAATCACTTAAGGTTGACTCTAGTCAAGTAGAAATACCTTAGTCAGTGAATTCAGGCCTGCCTTTGATGCAGAATAGGCTGAGGATCCAGGTAGCTGGCCTCTGTTCAGACTAGCAATTGAAGATATATTGATGACTGATCCTTCTATCTTAGCATCACGCATGCGTATGCATACAGCTTTTGAAACCAACCATGCCCCAGTCAAATTAGTTTTGAAGTTATTATTCCATTCCTCCTCAGATAACTCTAATGAAGTTCTCACAGTACCTGCAAATGAAGAAAAAAATTGAATATCGTTCATGTAGCCATGGACACAGTGACAAGAATTAATATATGATCAGGCAGTCAATTAATATAAGATTTCTTAACAATTACCAATCCACAACCAGATGCATACCATGACAACAACTTTGAATGCATACTCGAGAAAATAATTTGTGACAAAAAAAAATGCATCCATATAAACAGGAAAATACGTAGTACATCAACAAGGTATGAAGGAAAGGCTATACAGGCTCAAGATGACCAGAAAAGCAGAAACAGGCAATACAAACATTTAACAAAACCTCGGTGAAATATTAGAAGTGATCATAGTATCATTGGCAGGGGAGACCTGGCCAATTAACGAAGTATAGCTAAGCTTCTTTTTTATTTATTTTTTTGGACAGTGAGGAGGGGAGGGGGATTAGGTAACACTGGGATGGATAACCTTGGTCCCTCAATTGCTTGGTTACATAGATTCTTCATCATCCAACAGGCGGAAGGCTCCAACTAATGCAACCTCCTAGCTTCCCCTCACATGTTAAGAATCTTAAAATTTCACATTTTTGCCATGGATAAAGACTCTTATAAGCGAAATTCTATAAAATGAATCCCGTGTTTTTAAGGTGGTAGTGGACGTAGGTAGTGGTGATATCTTTATCTTGGATGAACGTGGTCTCACCACTATGAAGATAAATATTTCAATGTGAGCTATTCAAATGAACTAAAAAATGGCCTTGGTTGTAATTACAGCTAGGTTCATCCGGTGATGGTAACTCAAATGGCTTTCGCAATGCTTAAAGTAATTAGGTGGTTGGGAGGTGCAAAGTTCGGAATTTGATTCGAAGGAAGTGAGGAACCAATCATTGGAAATGATCACACAAAAAACTTCACAAGCTATTGCTATAATTATAGTACTACTTTTACAATACTAAATCCAAGCATAACACAGCCAAATTATACATACAAACAAATTATATCACCTTTTCAAATTATAATACATAAACAAACAGATTCCATAACATTAATAACACAAAACAATAATTTCATTCAAACGCATACCATTAAAATTAATCAATCAATTCCTTGCTCAAATCTACCAACAAATCAATGTATAATCAAATTACCAAACCTAAATCAAACAATAACATCCAAACTCAACAATGAATCCATGATTTATGAGAGAGAAAATTACCGCGAACACCGGCATTATTAACAAGAGCGTGAATACAACCAAACGCCTCCCACGCTTTCTGCACCGACGCATCAATCGTCTTTCCGTCGGCAGCAACATCAAGCTCAACCGCCACCGCTCTCACACCACCACCACCACCATCAATGGCAGAGGAAGAAGATGAAGAAGAGGAGAGAGAATTGATCTGATCGCAAAGAGATTGAAGGCGATCGATGCGACGAGCAGCAGCAATAATTTTGCAACCTGATTTAGCAAGATCAAGGCAGAATTCTCTGCCGAGACCTGACGATGCACCTGTAACCATAACTACTTTGCCTTCAAATTCTGGAAGTTTCCGCCATTGTTGAGAGCTTGAGTTTTGGGGTTTATTCTGGAATTCCGCCATTTTTATGAGAGAATTTGGTAGTTTGTTAAGGGGTTTAAATAGGGGGGATTTAAGAGAAGATTGATTGATTGAGTTGGTTGGTGTGAATTGGTAATGAATTAATACGGAGTATTATGATGATGATGATCTCATTATAATCTTTGATTTGAGCTATCTTCACAACCGTTGTTATTAATTTATACTGTACTAATTATACAGTACAACTGTACCGCTGTACGTATTTATGATCATGTATTATTATTATTTTTTTTGACGAAAAAATAAATATAATTATTACTTGTATTATTAATATTATGTACTTTAAATGTGTTTTTTAAGTGCGGTCGTGTTTTTTATTTTTTTTTTAAGGGTTACACTTTCTTTTTTTTGACACAAGCTACTTTTTAATATAAAGTATTATATTTCTCTCATGATGTCATAGTGCTCACCCAAATCATGTACTCATATGAGTTTGAGATATTGGGTAGTGATACCGTTTCTCATCTCAAAAATCTAGATTCACTTTTACTTTAATCCTTTATTGAAAAGTACATTATCCAACCTCGCAAGTGTTGCAAACTTGCTCATAATACTACTATTATAAGTGCAAATCGAACTTTTGAAAATGAATGGAGTATATATATTCAAATAATCTTGATTAAATAATTATGTACTTTGCTCAGAATATGATAATAATAATAATACGGAGTATTACTGAGGATCTTTAAGTGTTAATTACATACGAGTAGTATATTACGAGCAGTATTTAATTGAGCTACTGTACCTTTTTTTTTTTTACTTTATATTTTGGTGTGTGACTATTAACATGTGTTAGACTGCTAGCTTAAAGTCTTTAAGTAAGCATTGACCCAATTTTATTAAAAAAAGTAAGCATTGACCCAAGGTCAGATTTCCTTAAAAAAAGTAAAGTTCCACTTCATTTTCCCTGAAGTTTAGGGATTTCTTCCATGAAATCTTGTGGGTAAAGACTATACATATAATTGTTATATATGGTCTCTGTATATAACTTTAATTTGTCATATTTTCATTGGTTAGAATAATGGGCCCAAGTTCTATTAAATTTAATTTATATTTGACTCCTAATTTTTTCCCCACTTTTAATGATGTGTCAATTTTCTAATGGTGTTGTATGTAAGGTCAACATACGATGGTTGTATGTGTGTCATATACAACTACAAGTCAAATACAATACCTAACCACACGCACATGAAATGTGTAAAATACATGGTTTTTTGCCTATAATTGAATTTGAATACTACTGGTCTACTGTATCCTTAAATGAACCCCCCAAAACTGAGATATTCATAATTTACAAAACTAGAAGGTCAGCTCAAATGAATTATGGAGTACATATGTATATGTATTCATTCTTTTGAGTTCACATAATTTAAGTGTCATTAGAGACGAAGTTATTTAACAGAGACATGGTCAAAATTTACTCACTCAGGTTTCTTAAAAAATTGTTTATATCAAGTAAAATTTGAACAAAATAAAATATTTTCCTATGTTTGAACTCACTTGTCTTCTACGTGGAAGTACTATGTGAATTTTTGAAAGAACACTTGAAAAAAAAAAAAAAATACACTTTAATAATCCCAACTTTCGATTATTCTATAATAATCCAAACTTTCACCTGCGTTTTCTTTCTTCAATCCGGATAACCAATTACCTGAAGAAAGGGTTAATTTTTTTAAAAAAACAAATTATTTGACACGTGTTGCATTCTAATTGATTTAAAAAAATAAAAAAATAATAATTTAAATTAAAAAACAAAAAAAAGGAAAAAAAAAAAAACCCAAAGACCACTAGCCACCCAACGCAAGTGGCCGACCTTCCCCAACCGACAAGCCCCACCCATAAACCACCCTCTTTGATCCCCCAACCCCACTATTTGACCTACTGGAAACCCTCCCCGCACCGGAAACCCACCCTTCACTCCCTTTATTTGTGTTTTCCGACAATTAGAGGAGAGAGAAAGGGAAGGGGCTACGTTTTTTTGTGGTTTTGGGGTTGGGGGAGGTGATTTCGAGGGTTGGGGTTGGTGTTATAGGTGGAATCGGGGGTTAGGGGAGGGGATGGGGACAGTTTAGGGACGTGGATTTCAGGAACGGTTATAGGTGGTTTGGGTTTTATGGGTGGCAGATTCAAGGCTGGGGTTGTGGCTATGGCTGGTTTAGGGGGCATGGGGAGGGAGAGGAGGCCGGTTTTGCGGGGGTGAGGCGGTTTTGGGGGAGGTTTTGAGGCTGGGGTCAGAGACAGGGTGGTTTGGTTGGCTGTGGAGGGAGTTGGGCACCGCCAATGGTTGTGGGCTGGTAGTGGCTGGTTTTAATTAAATTTTTTTATTGATTTTTTCTTTAAATATTTATTTTTATTTTTTTGGACCACTTATGACTTGACTCGTGTCAAATGACCTAGAATATTAGGTCATTGACTTTTGTTGACCGATTTGGGATTGTTAAAAGAAAATGCAGGTGAAAGTTGGGATTATTATAGAATAATCGAAAGTTGGGATTATTTAATATAAATTGAGCAAACTTAGGATTATTAAAATGTATTTTTTCAAGAAAAATTTCTTCAAAGAAAGTTAGTTATCAAGTACAGAGTGGGAAGTATTACGGAGAGTTTAATTTTAGTTTATTATATATGTACTTTCTCCAATTTTTTTTTTTTTAAATTTCTATTTTACTTGAGTGTCTAAATCCAATAAATGCCAAAATATACTCCCAACATTCATTAATGAGTTTAATGTCCCGGCCTACTTGACTACAACTGCAAAACCATAATTAGGTGTTTATCATATATATATATATATATATATATATATATATATATATATATATATATATATATATATATATATATATATATATATATATATTTTTGGTTGGTAAGTAGAATGATCCTATTGGATCGAAACCTCTCACAAGTCCTCCCGATCTGAGTTAGCGGGCTAGACACTTTGAGAGTGGGGGAAATGGTAAGGGAATCCCCACCCCAAAGTGTCTCTAGTGAGGTTTGATTCCAATGCAAATCTTACCACTAGACTAAGTTATGCTTGGTAGTTATTCATCAAATGAATATAAAACTTAATATTCTTTTTTCATATTAGTATAAAAATTATCAGTCATGGTAAATGAGTATAAAACTTAGCTTTGCGTGACAAACTGACAATTGAGTGTGAAATCTAACTTCATGCAGCATTTAATCCTTATTTTCATCAAAGCTATTACTTATACTTATTAAAATTATACTAGAGAGGAAATGTGGCCACAAATTGGGTTAGTAAATACAACTATACAAGTAGCAAAGTTACTATAGGTTTGGTCACGCTCTTACTCCTCACAAACCAAAAAAAAAAAAAAAAAAAAATGGAAAATTGGTATGCACTGTACTTTTACATTGTTTATGTTAATCGCTATCGAATTTCTTCTGAATAAAAAGAACCAGGTTTGTTTGACATTGTTTTTTGTTTTCAAGTTTTTGTTTTTTTAAAACAAAAAACCAAAAACTGAAAACAAGAAGAAGGTGTTTTTTCTATTCTATTGTTAGTTTTCAAAATTATCATGATATTAATAAATTTGACTATTTTTTAATTCATTATATAACATGTACATGTGATTTTGAAAATTTAAAAACCAAAAAATTGAAAACCACTATGATGCCAAACGAACACCATATTTTTGGAGTTGGACTTTTTTTAGTCCTGTTATTAAACTTTTTGAGGTTGTATTGGGCCCAAAGCTCAAGCCCAGTCCCAATACTCACAAATTGCTTATTGAATTAAAATCAGATCACTTATTAGTTTGTGTCAATTTGATAATTGAAAAGAACACTTGCTCAATTTGTTTGTTAATTTAGTTGTGACATTTTAAAAGTGTACATACACTATTCACTTTTTCAATTTAATTATATTTTATGAAATAAAAAATCATATAAAATCTTGTAAGATTTATTTCGATGTGTGCTACTTCGTACAAGTTCATAACTAAAGATATAAACGGTTGAAATTATGCATTGACTTACATGAAAACATATCCATATATTGCAACTAAATAAAAAATAGAGATCTAAAAAAAAGCCCAAATATTTGGAAGAGTGCAAGCTGGTTAGTTAATTATTCAAATTTACTTGTGTATGTTGACGATACATATATTTTTGATAATAATAGCTTTCCTTTTATATCTCAAGAATTAAACTATTCATTAATTTGTACTAGAGTTTTCTTAGCTACATCATCTTTTTCTTAAATTATAGTATCATACAATCTATCTTAACAATAATAATGAATGTGCAGTGATTTACACAATTGAATTTCAAAAACGCGGCCTACCTCATGCTCACATATGATTGTTCTTGCGCCAAGAAGACAATTATCCTACTGCTGATGATATAGATAGGATTATTTCTGCAGAAATACCGGATCAAAAGACACAAGCTCATTTATATAACTACTTGGAGAAAATATACTACTTGAGTATAAAAATTATCAGGAAAAGGAAACAACGATTCTCAATTGGTAGAATGTAACTATTGAATTCCGTTAAAGGTCCCACATGTTATGAGGATATCAAAACCGTTGATGGTGTATTGTACTCTACATTCAAAGAGGCTTGCTATGCTCGTGGACTCCTGGATGATGATAAAGAATATATAGACGGTATAACTGAAGCAAGCTTTTGGGGATCGGCACCATATTTAAGAAGTCTTTTTGTGACTTTGTTGCTATTGGGAAGTATTTCTAGACCCGAGTTTGTATGAGTGCATGTATGGAAATTCTTGTCAGATGATGTTCTACATAAACGAAGGACGAATGGAGTAACTCGTGTAAAAATAAGAAATTTGGCATCTCACAATTGTGTTAAATATAGTAAATATTTTGCAAGTCAATGTATAATTGATAGCGTATAATTAGCCTCCTATTCTTATTCCTAGAATTCAATCAGTCAATGTACATGATTAGTTTCCTGTAAAGTATCCTAGGATTATGCTACAATCTTGTGTATATATTCTGACGATTGATAATGAGAAAGGCAACCGAAAACATTTTTTCATGGTTCAAATTGTATACGAAGTATTTCGTTTATCTTCAACTTTTGAAAAAGAAATTGAAAACTGAAACCTTAACTAATACTAATTTTAGTATTTTTTTTTTTT